CAACAAAAGACAAACATTTGTACAACTGTATAATAAATATAATTAACTGTACCACAAGTGAATTTTTTCCTATTTCGAATTTATTTTAGTCAAGAACATTATCGATTCAAGACCTTTTATACTGTTACGTCCATAGAACAATCAGTTAATAACAATAAAAGAGTATTAACTGTTTAAGAAAACACAAATATATGCTGGTCTAGTGACAGTGTTTTTTGTTGTTGTTATTTATACTGCTTTAAGTCGTAATTTGGCAATTAATAATATTTTTCGACTGTAATTTTGATTAATTTAAGCAAGTTCTTGTGTGTGTTATTAAGCACTAAGCTACACAAAGGGCTATTTGTGCTATACCCACCCCAGGTATCGAAACCCGATTTCTGGTGGTATAAGTCTGCAGGCATACCACAGTGCCACTGGAGGGGAGGGGTATGATTTAAGTAAGTTAATAAACTGCTGATAACGCAATCACATTTAAGAATAGTCAGTTATTATCATAAAATTTAATAAAATAAGAACATTTAAAGACAAGAGGCCCTGTTTGTGTGGTAAAACACCCAACTTTAGTTTATACGTCAGTCCTGTTTGTGTGGTATAACACCCAACTTTAATATATACCTCAGTCCTGTTTGTGTGGTATAACACACAACTTCAATTTATACCTCAGTCCTGTTTGTGTGGTATAACACACAACTTTAGTATATACCTCAGTCCTGTTTGTGTGGTATAAAACCCAACTTTAATTTATATATCAGTCCTGTTTGTGTGGTATAAAACCCAACTTTAATTTATACCTCAGTCCTGTTTGTGTGGTATAACACACAACTTTAGTATATACCTCAGTCCTGTTTGTGTGGTATAACACACAACTTTAGTATATACCTCAATCCTGTTTGTGTGGTATAAAACCCAACTTTAATTTATATATCAGTCCTGTTTGGGTGGTATAGCACACAACTTTAATTTATACCTCAGTCCTGTTTGTCAACATAGAAGACATGAATAGAAATCAAGTGACATTACTGTTACCATTTTCGAACACAGGTAGCCCATTATGTAGCTTTGTGTTTGACAAAAAACAAAGGAACAAAAAGATCCGTTATCGTAAAATATATTTTTAAATTAATGTACTATATTTTCAACGAACTCGGCAGTGTAGTTAGGATTTCATCAATCTATACCTCCCCCTGATATCTTTGTGATAAGTTTGGGGCTTTTAATATTAAAATCTGGATTCGATAGCCATTGAAAACTCAGTTAATACAGCCAATACGATAACTTTGTGCATAAAAACAAAGCAACAAATAAACAAGTTGTTACTTAACTTTACAGCTGGTAGGTAAACATAAATAATATCCAATTACAGCGATACCTAGTTAGTATTATTTTGTTATATCTTTTTTTTTTCATTTGATCACGTGAAATGAAACTCCACAAACACTCTCCACACCCTCGTGAAGTTTCATCTAGCGGACATTTCTTTACTCTTTGTTTGATGCTTTGATCAATTATTCTTCAGCCTACAACACCTTTTATGTATATTTTCAAGTTATTTTAATGTGCTGATCTTCAAACGAAAGACAATAAATAAAATCATGACAGTAAACAAATTATGTAAATAAGCACAATTTTTTTAAGGATATTGAGCACGTTATGCTAAAAAAAAAGAATTTTGAATATATAAATCAACATGTCACGGGCCTGCCACAGCCAATATAAAGTCGCGGTGGAAGGGAATGTATCATAGCTATATATTGACATTGTTCGGCGTTTAGTAGGTAGTAGTGACACGGAACTTGGTCACTTTTTAGAAGGAGTTTATAGTAGACCTTTCCGACGTAAAATAGTCATATATTCAGATCAGTAATTTAGAATTTTCTTAGAGGAGAATATCTCTTGTTCTTAATGGCATTGGAAAACAAAGGAGTATGGATCAACTTAGTGTCCCAAGACCATCCAAAAAGATACCTGCAACAGGTCTTACCCCAGCCATGATAAGCAAAGTACGGCATAATGTAACAGCTGAGAATCCGCAAACACAAAGGTCAGTAGCAAAAACCAAAAAAAAGTCGCCCAGGTAGCAATACACAACATAATCAAGAAGGATCTCCTTCTGGAAAAGCGACAAAAGTCACGTGTACGCAAGTTACTTCCAAAACAAATCCATTCAAACATTGTATACCTCATGCAACTGGAGAACGAAACGGGTATTCATTATATTTTTTACGAAAACATACCGATCACGTTGCCTATGGATTTCTGTGTGATCGGACTGTTAAAGCCCTAGCTGAGAAACCGTCGTTCTTCTATACTAGATGAACCGTGGAAACAACGCAATGAGGAGAGTGTGGTGTGGACATGACAGCCTTACGATGAAACCGTTTGCAATGGAAACTAAGCTGTGGAGCTCTTTTCAAGATGCACAGTCGTCTGATATAGCATCACTGGACGTTGCGACATGGACTATAATGACGTAGTGAGATTCCAAAATCTTTAAGATATAACGCATTCAATCTCTTATAACATTCGAATGGGATAGCTCGTCCCATATTGCTGGTTGTAGAGATATAACCTTCAAATAGGGTGGCTCGTCCCATACTGATGGTTTTAGTGAAATCTGATGTTTGAGTACTATATATGTATGGAGCGAAACTGTACAGTTAAACTCTTTTAGCATAACTTAGTTATAAAAGCCATATTACTAAAACATCTTTATAAAATAACATGACTGCGCAAAAACATTTCTTCAGCGCTTTTTCATTGATTTGTGTGTGTGTTGTAAATAACGTTTGCTCTGTTTTAGCCATCACCTACCAAATAAAAAGACAGCTATCAGATTTAAATGGTAAAGAAAATGTGATGTTTACCAAAGAGTAATAACATCCGTGCTCCAAACATAGCTTGTTTTTTTAGCACTTTATATGTATTCATATAATGTAAGGTTATTAAGTACGAGCTAAAATATCAAAGTTTAAGAGGTAGAATTTTTATAGACATTTTATGTATACTCCTTTTCTACAACCTACGGTTTTTTCGTCTCTATAGGACGTATAATGTACATTTGTATTTCCCTTTCAGCTTAGTGTTACTGGATATTAATATACTTTATATGGTTTTGTTTCAAAGTCGTGAATTCAGTATCAGATACTGATTATTAGGTTTTGATCTAAAGTACTTTACTCAAAGGCCTGGCATGTCTTCATGTTTGGGGCGCTCGACTGGCAGTCTGAGGGTTGTGGATTCAAAGCTCAGTCACCGAACATGCTCGCACTTTCTGCCGTGGGACCGTTATTATGTGACGGTTCATCCCACTATTCGTTGTTGAAAGAGTGGCAGAAGAGTTGGTGGTGGGTAGTGATAAGGAGCTGCCTTCCCTCTAGTCTATCACTGCTAAATTAGGAACGGCTAGCGCAGATAGCCATCGTGTAACTTTGCCCGAAATTCAAACCAAACCAAACTTTACTCACCGGTTACCACTAATAAATTATGATGTTTCTGATAATTTAATAACACGTTACTATATCGTCATACTTAATTATTCGGCGGACTGCCTTCTGTAATTCCAAAGGTTTTTGTGAAGAAAATCAAACTTCACAAGTAAATTATCAGATATTGATGATTATCTTTCGAAATTATCAATACAAGTTTACCCTAAATAAAAAAATAATTAAAACTCAATGTTCATTGTTAGAACCAATTGTTTAAAAAATATTTTCCAATTTTTTATTAGTACTTGTCTATTATTTTAATGAAGATTGCTGGTTTTCAAAACAAGGTAATCTCAGTGATACGTAATAAAACAAAGAAAATAATATTTTTGCACTTTAAAGTAAATTTACAGTTTAAACGCCGAAAGCTGGCGAAGCATTAGAAACCAATATCTGCAGTTTACTTGATTTTTACCATAAATTTTAGGCCTTTCTAAAAATAAGTTAATAACACACTGCAGAAAACGTGCTTTAGGTTGACTCTGGAATGATTTCCTTCGTTTGATTTGAGATGTTCTTTGATTCAAACCGCTAGGTGGCACACTTTCTATCAATGAGTAAAACACTACAGCAAGTTGTCTAACAACATGTTAATACACAATATTAGGCTATCTAAGTTAAGATACTACAAACACTAACATGTTAAGAATATGTTTTGTTTTTACTATAACCTAAGGATAACTTTTAAAACGTGCTTCAAATGATAAATAATTCATCAGGCTAGAAGATGATGAAACTTATTTTCTGAAAATAATTTTGTTCAAAATTATCTTTATGTTTCCAAAATATTGTTTCAGCTCTCTTTCTTTTATATTTTTTGTGGAGAGTTTGAACAGAATTGCCTCGGTGAACAGTTGTAAAATTTAAACTTTAGTGGGGTTGAAATAAGTACGATATTCTAAATAACAGTGCTTTATTCTTCTAAGTACGTTCACGCCTTATTCTATAACAATTAGCCTAGAAATTATGTTGTTAACAAGTGTAAAAATCTTCTCCAAGAGAAAGCTTTGCAATTACAACAACAGAGGGCGCTATAGTTAAAATGGATGGCACTGCGTGGCATGTGTTTTTGGCAGATTTTGATATATATATATAAGGATATATAATGTTAACTGAAACTATTAACTGAAATGAAATATATGACTACAATCTCGTAAACATATAAGATCGCTGCTTAGTGGTTCAATGAAATTATTTGGTTGTGATGATAACTATATCTGCGTCTGACCTTTCTATATTTCTTAGAAGAAGACAAACATCTCCATGTTTCGTTTCCTCGTGCGTTTTCTAGCATTCTGAAAACTGCCGAAATTTCCTATTGATTGCTGCTTTGGGCTTGACTAAAGCTGCTACAAACGCGTGCCAAACGTTGTTGCTCATTGGCTCTTCACTACCGTTCTTCTCACAACTCCCGGATGTCATACAAAATCGGTTCTCTTACGTCCTGAGTGTATTGGCTGCCTGCTGTGCACAGTCATTCAGAGTCTTGTAAAGCTTAAAGCCTGGTACTACGTCTTTCCTGCCTTGGAAATTCCTAACATCTTTCACTACACTATGGTAAGTATCCGAATTTTCTCATCATCCTTATCATCTTCAGGAAACTGATAAAGAATGGCCAATAAGCTCGAAAGGATATACTAGTAGGATGATTAACTATATAGAAAAATGGTATTCAGTTGAAAAAATGTATCATTCAACAAGTGACGCAGGTTGCCGTGTATTCTTGAACGACGGTCGGTTAATGACACTTTTGATCAAATGTTCATCTATCAGGGTTTTTTCGTGCTTTTTTAAGTTGCGATTTTTAGCTGAAATCATGGTTAGAGAAAATAGATTTAGTTTTTCTTTGTGATTATTCTTACTTTACAGATTTCAGAGTATTACCATCTAGTAGTTGGTTACTGTTGCTAGGCAATTTAACATCGTGTTTCAAATAAAACTTTCTTTAATATACTTCACTTGTCGTATTATCTGAGTTTATCTTTAAATCATTTTCATTTAATGATTTTAAAAATAGGTTCGGTATCATATTTGGACTCAGCATTATGGCGGAATAACCTTAGTTAGGATGTAAACATTCTATCATAACGAACTAACCTAATAAGTTGGTGAAATTTCCTGGTAAAAAGCAAAGAACCATTCCATTCCATAACACTACAAGAAAGTTCTATTACAGTTATCATTTAGTTTTCCCAGTTAAACAATTTTTAAAACGTGAACTTGAAAATTACTTTTTTTTTTCAGTTAATTTAATAAAATGACAATTACTTCAAATACTGTCTTTGGGTACAGAATGTATGCTTGTGCAATTTACAATGTAAAAAATACACTCGCAAAAGTACGCTCTGAAATTTCTATTGCACAGAGGGCGCTGTAGTAGGTGTTTATGTTACTTAGAGCAAGACTGATTATTCAGAAACGCCTACTATATTTTTTCATTTACTACTATTTCGTGTAATTTTCCAATATTGACAGTCGGTTATACATTTTTTTATTTACTGTACACAAAACGCTAAGCAAAAGTTTAGAAGGACGTTTTATAAACTATACAGACATAATATTATCTCACTGAAATTTTCTGAAGAATGATAACTTGTTTGTGAGAAGTCCATTCCAATATTCCTTAACATTTTTATTCATTAACTGCTGGCATCAGTGGCGTGTTTCATAACATAACGATTTTGTGAAAAGAAATGCTCTACAGCCGTTGACAAATACACAGCTGCTATAAGATGATGTACCTGATTTTATAGGACATTATCACGTGATAACCACAACTTATAACAACATACAATAAAGATAGCATTACATATACAGTTTCAATCATAGGACTTATACTGTCTGCTTATAAACGTAACACGCAACATTTCAAAACGTATAAGTGATTTGGATTGTCAGAGGAAGAGTGAGGGTTAGTTGTGATAGACTAGATTATGCTTCATACATATTTTCTTGTTGAATGTATATGTAAAAATTAAACTTAATAAGTTCTCATACCATTATTTTAATTTGTGAGAACACGTCTTTTCCATTCAAAATAAGCTTCTATTCACGTATGCATGCACTTCGTTATCAAACGCCGTCTGAAACTAACAAAGTTTTGGGTAGTAAATGCACAAACTTATGTCATGAAGTAAATCATGACAGTACTGTTTGGAATTAGTAACGATATAGAATTTAGCTCGGTCATAGCTAAAAAACTATTTTAAGCTATGACATATACTTTAACGACAGAAACGAAATTTCCAAATTGTAAATTCCATGAACGCCCTCTTTAACTTGATTTTCTAGTGAATTTGATTGTTTTTTTGTTGTTAAATACAAAGCTACACAATGAGGTATCGTTGCTGCGCCCATCGCGGGGATCGAACCCCGCAATTTTGGCGTTATAATTTCTCAAGATTACTGCATAGTCCCTGTGAGAGACTGTTCAATATTCAGACGCTTTGTTCATTTTGCACAATGATGGATGCTTCTGAACAGTTTTGCTTTCTAGTTTAAAGTTTTAGAAATAGCATAACCGTCTCCCAGTAGCACAGCGGTATGTTCGCGGACTTACAACGCTAGAAACCGGGTTTCGATACCCGTGGTGGGCGGAGCATAGATAGCCCATTGTTTATCTTTGTGCTTAATTACAACCAACCAATTGTTATTTTGATATATTCTCTATTAGATTACTCTCGTGTGAAATGTTTACCATCAGTAATATATTGTTTGTTTGAACCAACAAGTGAAAGAACTATGCGTATTCTGATATTGTATGATTTAGGTTACAGAGAGCGTTTTGTTTTGTTTTTTTCAAGATATTCATGCAAAGCTACACAAGAGCCATTTTACGCTCGGCGTCCCTATTTTTTCCTAATTTTGAACTGATAGATTAGAGGGAGAGAATCTCTTGGGGTGCTCTAGCTTAGTGGGATTTCAACATTACCGCATAATGCACCCACTGCTCCTGAGTGTGGATCATGCGGCAATGTGACGCGAACATTGGATTCTCGGATCCACAGTCCGACACGCTTAACATTAGACCAAACCTGACCTAGGTTGCGTACATATGCATTTTTAAAATGTTAATTCATACATAAGACTTAAAAGTATAAGAGTTCTTCGAGTATTTCGAAATTAAAATGCTGTGGGCAACAAAATATTTAGAAATTGCACTCTGATTATCAGTTCTGGAAACCACAAACCCTATAACTCCACTGTTGTTAAAAAGTATTTAAAATTCCTTTCCTTGAACATTTTCTTAACAGAACATTAATGGAAAATCGCCTGTTTCCTAGTCCTGTGAATACCTTGTGCTTGCTTTATCTAAATAGATAAATCTTTACATATGTTGCATTGTAATTACCTGAGACACTCGATTGCTGTATTCTGACTGGAATACCAACTTGGATTACAAGGAGGAGAGCTCCAACTCTTTAAAAATCCGAATTTAGTTACTAGAAGCAAACAAGCAAGTTATAATACACATATTTTACCAAAAACTGAAAATGATAACGATTAAATACAGTTTATTAGTTACGTGCACATGTCGTGGGTCATTTGTGAGAGTAGACGGCTGTTTCGGCGCCTCTAACAGGAAATATCCCATTCCATCTTCAGATGTGGTCATTTGTCGATTGGCCATTTTGGTGATCGTATCATATTTGTTTTTTGTTTCCATGTGATTGTGTGGTAATGTTACTTGCTGGTGACAAACAGAAGTTTTCGAAGGAAGTACGATTATCAGAGCTTTCAAATGTTGGAAAGAGTTTTCACAACATTGCACAACTGGTCTGAAGACTAGACAAAGACTTATAAATTTAATCATGCCACCTTAGTTACCGCTAATTACGCAACGTGGTTGTTAGGGATTACTGTTCCTCTAACCATCAGCTCAATGTGGACTATAGGACAGGAAACGGCGAAACGATCTAGGAGCACAGCTCGTTTCGATTTTTGTGGAGATCACTAGAAATTGCAACTTTGTATTTAGGCATTTTATTCTTCGCGTCGTTAACAATGATTGGGTGTTTTTGATTAGATAACTATAACTTTTTGATGCAGTTCTGTTAAATACGCCCATTTTGGTGTTGGTTCAATTATAGTGTGTATCAGAATGAATCGAAATACAGATCTTATGTTATGGTACAATATCAATATGAACTGAATAACATATCTTATGTTATGGAAACGACATCAGTATGAATCGAAGCACAGACACTATTATATGTTCTGCCATCAGTATGAATTGTAGTATAGATATTATACCATGAAATAGTATCAGTGAATGATGCATAATAATAGTCAATATCACACTGCCAGGATTATGATGGAGTACCTTAAAGAATAAACGACAGGGGTCATGGATTGTCCAGTTAGAAGTCGTGATCTTGACGCCGTTTACGTTAGCTCCTTAGCCATTCATAAGACACTAAAAGCTTGGTGTTGTAAAAATTGAGAAATGGGGCAGGATCTTTATCACGTACCTTGTAACTGGCACATAAGTATATCCGCAAGTCCAGAGAATCTATCAGTACAAGTGCACTCTTCATCCATCTTGTTTTTTGTTTCAGACAAGTAGACTTAGTCTGAATTCAATTTGAAAATATGTCGCTAATAGCACTGGAGGGAACGTTTAAACCCTCAAATTCAAATATTGATTCATAGACCGTATTCAGTGAATAAATGATGCTTCTAAAGTGTTCTCTGATTTCAGCTCTGTTGTTCATTGAGTTGAAAAATAGTTCAACTGTCAGTCTCGTTACTTTAACGTTGAATAATCGCTAGATATAAATACTACAGGCACGAGCAAGAAAATAAAATACAATAAAGATATAGCAGTGTAATAAGATGATGTTTGTTGAAACACAGGTTCGGCCATTGATAACTGTTTTAACAGTGAAGGTGTTACTTTCAGTTTATACCGTAGTAAACTTCTGAAACGTCTAAAAATTATTATTCTATAATTTGTACTTTTTTATAATAATCAATTATCCAAATCAATCTATGAACAGGAACACAAAAACCTCAGAAAGTACACGAAAATCATGTCATACATTAATGCCACGAATGTAAAATATTTCTCACGCAATGCATATCTCTTATAGGTTGTAAATAGGTTCGTCTTTTACTGATCCGTATTTATATTTTTTCTTAGCGCAGAACTTGTAATATACTACTTCTTTCAAATACATAGAGCAACAGGCACAGAAATACTGATCTATATTTATATTGTCTTTCTTAAAACAGTATTTGTTATATGCCATTTCTTTGAAGAAAAAAAACACAGCAACAGGCACAGAAATACTGATCCGTATTTATATATTTTATTAACACAGAACTTCTTAGATACTATTTCTTTCAAACACATAGCAACAGGCACAGCAATACTGATCCGTATTTATATTTTTTAATAGCACAGAACTTGTTATATACTATTTCTTTCAAATACATAGAGCAACAGACACAGAAATATTGATCCGTATTTATATATATTTTCTTAACACAGAACTTGTTAGATACTATTTCTCTCAAACACATAGAGGAACAGGCACAGAAATATCGATTCGTAT